GGGGGGGGGGGGGGGGGGGGAGTTGGGCTGAGGCGGCACGTGTCAGGTGATGTGCAAGCAGACAGATTAGCGTGTGCCAGGTGGCATGGGCCCAAAGCGCCGTGCCTTGTCAACTTCCATGGTCATGCGTCAGCTGATTGGTGCCTGAGCTTGCTGGCTCCCACGGCTGGAATGTCACAAGCTGACGTCACAACCTCGGACTCGGGGATGCATGAGTGCCCCCACCTGGGCCACGAAGTTTGAGACGACGCGGCCGTCATCCAGCGCCATGCGGGGTCCGTAGGTGTTGAAGATGCGCACGATGCGCACCTGGGGGTTGAGGGGGGGAGGGAGTTGCAGGGGACCTCAACCCACCTGGGCAGCCAGTGGCCCTGATCAGGTTCGAGCAATCAGGCAGGGAGACGTCGCTTCTAAGGAGCGAAGACATGTGGGAGGCAAGCGCGGGTGCTCCCTGAACGGCGGGCAATCGAGCAAAGGGGGTAGGACAGCGCGGGACCAGCCGTGCGGTGTTTTCCCCCCCCCCCCACCTCGATGCCGTGCTCCCGGTGGTAGTCCATCGTGAGGCACTCCGCCGCGCGCTTGCCTGCAAACAACGGAGGCATCACCCCAGCCGACCCAGGGGCCCGCGGATGGCCTTCAGCTCGAAATCACAGGGGCAGCAGTGCGCACCCGGGCGCCAGACGGGACGCGCGCGCCCACGGCGCGCGGTCACCCCCACCACAGTCTCCTCTTGCAAGGCCCGTAGGTCAATCAATGCAGGGGCACTAGCTTGCACGCATAAAGCACACACGCCATGCACGCCAGCGCCCCCTCACGCCACACAGCGGCACGTTCGGGGCCATTGGCGTGAGGGAGGCGGGCCGGCGCCCGCGGCAGCGGCGCTCACCCTCGTCGTAGCAAGAGCGCTCCCCGATGGGGTTGACATTTCCCCAATAGGACTCTGTCTGGGGGTGCTGCAGGGGGTCCCCATACACCTGGCGGCGGGGGCAACCAAAGCGGGAGCACGCACCAGATGAAACACAGACCAACGCGTCATGCCGCGCCGCAGCGGCTTGGCCGCCGGCAATTGGGTGCGGCTGACAAGGACCCGTGGTGCCCCTGGAGGCACGCGCGGCGAGCCGGCGGCTCGGGTAGGGCTAGGCGGCACGCAGATGCGGCGCAGGCGGCATGCGCATCCTCGAGGCTGTGCATTTCAGGGCGAGCGTTCTGGAGAGCTGAGGAATGCAACCCGTGCGAAATGCAGGGCAAGCCCCGCACCTCGCTGGTGGACGTGAGCAGGAAGCGCGCACGCACGCGGCGTGCGAGGCCGAGCATGTTCATGGTCCCCAAGAAAGAGGTCTTGATAGTCTTGATAGGGTTGTACCTGGGTTAATGAGAAAAGGATAGAAAAATGTGTTTGATTGCATTTCAATGATGTTGGTTGATGTGATGACACTAACTTGATTTCTATTTTCAGGTTGATCCGATATTGGTAAATTATGATCTTGCAGGTGCGCGCGGCGTGCAAGGGGCGTTTGGTGAGACGAGGCCGCAGGCAGGGTGCAATTAACCTCCACAGCTGTCAGGCAGAGCGCAAAGACTCGAAGGCCTGATGTGCAAATTCCACCAGAACATGCGATGTAAGGTGTGCAACAGCTGGCAGGCCATTGCAAGGAAGGGCAGACAGGCCCACTGGGGCACCAGGCCCCTCCTCGCGCAGTCCAAACTGCTCTGCAGCGCACATGCGCCCATGGGCGCGCAACCTCGTACCCACACGCACATATATACAAGCGCGCACGCACGTGCATGGGAGCAGCTTGCCCGCGTGCGGGCCGACACATGCGCACGCCTTGCACCCCTGCTCACTTGTAGTGGATGGGTGACGCGGGGCAGGCCAGGTGGAAGATCTGGTCGACCTCCAGCAGTATGGGCTCCACCACGTCGTGGCGGATCACCTCAAAATTCGGCTTGCCTGGTTACGATTCGAAAGAGGAATAGGTTCATGTGTGATGGCGGCGCGTCGTCCACGCGCGGCTGGTTTGGGGGGCGACGGGGGCAGCATCGAGCTCTGCTGGGAGCGGAGCCGCGGGGCATGTGGGGGGGGCGGCTGGGGGG